TAATAATAATAATAATAAATGAAATTATTTGACGGTCAAAAACGTAATCACGCAATGCCCTCAAGTCACATCACACACACACACACACACACACACACACACATACACATTATTATAATATATAATATGTAACTTATATACTCGTATGCATATATAGATTAGGTATCCTGCAGTATAGGTATATATCGTTATTGTATATATAGAGGAATATAGAATCTTCGGACATAATCTACCACTGCCACTATATTACTACTAATACTGTATTATGCTATTACTATTTACTACTTCTACACGCTGTTTCACTCCGTACGGAAGGGTACCTATAACGTTCTAGCGACGATCGTGGTGTACACAGATATTATTTTATATAGGTGTCTACAGCCACCGCCGACCACAGGACTACGCGCGTAATAATTCATATTAATGACCGTTCGACCGCTGACGTTATTATTGCATGTTCCTTCCCTATGCGAGCGAGACGCGAGTGTATATTATTATAATATATACATAACAATAATAATGATAATAATCTGAGAGCGGCTATATTATGTGTATGAATGTGTACCGACGACTCCGGAGACCTGCAGATAGACATATATTATTTTTTTATTATCATTATATACTTATTACCTACAGTGCGCGGGATCGGAGAAAAAAATATAGTACAATGATTAATAGCGTGGATCGAAATCGTATTTTTTTAAACATATATATGTATATATATATCTGTATATTAAATATAAGGTATTTAAATATAATTGAAAAGTTATTTTCTCGATTAATGTATCTGTATATTATATCGCCGCGTCGGTTCGCTCTTATAATAAATGACACGTTGATTGAGTCGACCATATATAATTTTAAGATTTTCAGCCAGTGTCATCGTCATATACAGTCAGGTTGCAATGATTGTATTATGTACACACTACACATAGATATACATCTGTTGCAATGTTTCATAGAAGAGCGCAACAGGGAATAACTGACGGTTGGGATACTTTCTGTTCGATCTGCAGGTAAATCGTATGTAAATCCATAATATATCATCATTAATTAAAATATATACATTATTTAAGTGTATTTTTAGACAATGATTTAATAATAATAATTACGGGTGTCATGCTCATGTCGTCACGCTGAAGGACGGGAGCCCGTTAAAAAAACTTTGTTTTCAAGCACCATAGGTCACGACCGGTTTGTCTACGATATAGGACCTTACTACGCACACGGATGTATAATATTATAAATTTATATAATATATGTAATACGGTTACCGCAGGTTCAAAAGGTTTGAGAGCATGTTCTCGGTCACTCACGAGGTGAATCGAGGGAAAAGAAAAAATGTGACGCCAAAACGAAGCGTGTACCTACTACCTACATATACTCTTATACAATATGGAAAATAGAAAGATACGAATATACTACGCACGAGGGTTATTAGCGCCTGAAGAGAAAGACCATCGTGCAGAACGGGATGTCATCGCTGCGAATATATATTATATTGAATATTGGTAAGTCGTAGTTACTACTATGTACATGATATATATATATATATATAGTGATAAGTGATCGTAAGTGTCCCTCGAGGTTAATACGAGGAAGTTTGGTTTTTTTTTGTTATATTTTTCATGAAATTATCCAAAGTTAGTGGAAAACGCTTTAACACAAATAAAATTTCCCTCTACAAATTGTAAACAATTTCAAAACACTTTGGTTTTGTTTCACGCCAAACTATTTTGTTAAGAAAAAACATATTATGTATAACCACATTTAGAGACGAGCATTCTGTTAACCGTATTTGCATGGTTTCGTTTGTCTGGGTATCGTCCTTATAACATATCCAGTATAAATTATTCTAAAATATGCAACCTTTATACGTATTCATTGTACAGCTGGCTTCTGCTATAGGTACCGTCTAAATTTGTATTATTTTTTATTGTGATCAATACAAAACGTTATACACCCAACAATTAAGTATTTAGATGTTAGACGATAATAATATAATACCTACAATAAGAAACAATAATCTAAATATTTAATTTACGGGTTGGAGACTATATTATCGAGTGAGTACGGTATAGAAGGTAGGTAAGCACTTATATGATAGACTTGGAGTTTTTATAAACTTCAAATCGTTTTTTCAAAAGTGTGATGTACAAGAAAAAACACCGGAACAGCCAACAACACTTGAGTATATTATCTTACAAAGCTCTATAGACACGCGGAATCTCACCGGGACGTAATATTATAATATGACACACAGACGAGTATGTACAAATATGAAGCCGTATATACCAGTAAGTAACATTACTCACTACCTACATACCACATAAATGTACAGTAAAATATGTATTTGTAAATTATATAACTGCAGTTTTCACACGTGGTTTTTATGCTAATGATGACAACGATGACACCAGACACACACACTACAGCAATGTAGTCGTCAGTCGATGCACACGCACGTTTTATACACATTATGTAAAGGCACACTCCACAGGTTGGCGTTGTATGTATAGTTAATAAACGACTTATTACAATATATTATAGTACGTATACTCAAGCGCATACGTATAAGTGGAAAATGTTGGAGAGGCGGCGTGGGAGTATAAAAAATATTTAAGTCATACATCATATAATATCATTGCTACGGCGACGGTGATGAATCGTCGTCATATAATGCGGGCGGGTGTACATAATATTATATATTATATATTATAATTTATAATGAAGACGGAATAACGCGGGTCACAAACGGCTGCTGCAGCTGTACACAAGCAGTGTGTTACATTATTCAATTATATATTGTACCTATATACTGCCTACTATAGTACCTCCTATAAGTAGATATTATTATCACATGCAGGCGTGCTAAATGACGCCACACCATCGCCGTCGTATATCGATCCGACTCCATAGGCGGACCTTTAGCCGTATAGGGGTGGGCAAAAGGGGCGGCCTAGTGGCATTTCCTCCCATAGCAACACACGAATAACCACCACCCCTAATGGCAATCGAATCGGCTTTCCAACAAAATTTGTGTAGCAATTAAATACAAAATACGTTTCCCGCCGTCCCCCAATAAGTGCTGTTATAAAATGTTTAAAAGTTGTGTGCGACAAAAATTCTGAGCACCAGTTCAAACCCATCGTTAAAAACACGGTCGAACGACATCATACAATACAATGTTTAATTTTTTTCATGACTGGTGATAAATGTGAGTGAGCACTGTAGCCAGTCAATGCGCTAAAAAAACGCACTAAGTACCTATACTGAAAAATCGCAATACAACGGTAAACGGTTTCGGAGTATAGCCGCAAAATTTGCATCATGCTCGTAATTTCTATAAAATAATATACAATGTTGCTACAAAATTGTTCATTGTCTGTTGCTCCGTCTTATCAAATAAAATATTAAAAAAAAAACTAGAAAAGTCGTATAATAACCGTTTTTGCGTAATCTATGTAGGAAGGCGTAATACTTTTTTATAGAATTTGCAGAAGCTATACATATATCATAAATCAGTAATAATAATATATAATTACATTAAAGTACTTATGCCGATTTCGTCTAATCAATCGGAAACGATAAAAAGTTAAAGTGGATGACGTATTCTTTGTTCGTACCTATAGGTAGGTATAACATAACTATTTAATATAATACGAGCTTCGAAATCGTAACAACAGAAACAGATACGAAAAAATTCGTTTTCCCGAGACGACTTTGTTGAAGAGAGCAGCCCAGGCGACATAGACACGTATAAGGTCGAAAATCCACCGCCTGATCGTTTTATATGTTATTATAGTTTATAACAGATACGCGCGCGTGTGTGTGTATAGTTTCTTACGGATTATTTAATTGTCTCGCAAACGCGTCAACGCATTATGTAGGTATTTAAATAATATTATAAGGGCGTGTGGATCGGAGGCAGCGCGTTTGAACGATGACGAATGGCTGGTATTAAATTATTATACTCCCACTAAACGTTAAATAATTAACATGTAAGTCGGTCGATTAATAACTGGTGTCGTAAGAATGACACGGTACACATGTGGTACGTATACAACAATGGTGTCGAGACGAGTTCTTCCCCGCGAGACCGAAAACGGCGAACATTGAGTAATTCTTGTTTAAAATAAAATATAAATTGAATATACGTTCGGTTATTGTTACTCGTGATAACCGGATACGGGGCAGGTCTGTTACCCCTCAAAACATTATGCGTTTACAACTATTATAATAATATAATATTGTCTATATGAATGTACTATTATAATATAGAGCGACGGCGAAACGTATAAAATAGTCCAAGAGGAAACAAAAATCATAATATTGAAAATTGTTACAAAATTGCTTGCAACTATACTCATAATATAATAAACTGGCTCATACATTTTTTTCAGTGCACTGAAATGGATCCATAGAAGTGTTGTAGTCACAAGAGCATATTATTCATACTGCCAAGGAACCAAGAGGTCCGCGACAATCCGTGTGAAAACTGAAAGATGCGAGTTCGACGGATACAGACGAAATCCCATTATAATGGCTATTCCGGGGGCTGAGATGAAGAAGTAAAAAAAAACAGTCTTTCCGGTATAATAATGTGCCTACGCGTTGTTCGCGTTCGCGCGCATCGCGTAGTGTAACAATAATATAATATACAAACGACGAAATCCAGATATCCATCGAAACGCGTCTCAGGCGCATTCGACTGTCGCGCCGAACACGAGCGGAATCGTGTCGGAAACCGAGCTAACACACTTTTTTTCTGATCGTCACCGTATATAATATTATTATTTTAATATTCAGTCTTATCGTCATCGGTCGTGCGACGAAGACGGTTTAACATTATATTATAGGTACATATATAATATATTATTATGTACATAATGTTATGATGGTGGCACAACAGAAGACGTGCTCCAGTTACTATTGCGGCGTGACCTTTTTTATTTTTTTTATTTTTCCAAAAAATCAAACACAATACTAGTTATATTCAGTGGTGTATTGGAGGGTATACGCGGGTATACGTCGTATACCCGGATCCCTATTTTTGGATTTATGCGTATACCTTTAAGAAAATTAGTCATTAATGGGTATACGCACGCTTCTAATTTATCATCAGACAATTTAGTCATATTATCACCAAACAAAAGTAAAAACTTAAAAATAATAATTAAATTTTACCCTACTACAAGTTCTTGCGAAGACGATCGGAAACTGCCGAGCGTATATACAATCAATGTACAGCGGTTCCCAAACTGTGTACCTACTAAGTTTCAAAAATATATTGTAAACCACTGCTTTATCGTGTATACCTATTACCTACACTGAATCGGTCGCGGTGTGCCGTGTATGGTTAATCTAATAGTTAAAAATAGATCCATAGTCAAAAAATCGTGTACGATTATTGATAATATAAAACAATAAACATACGTAATTTCAAACTAAATGATAATGACAAATTGGAATAATAATAAAATAATTATTGTTGATTTATTGTGTTATTACTTGTCATCCAATAACCAAATTATAAAATCGAACTATTAGTTTCTTATTATATTAATTCTATTAATTTTGTAAAATATTTTATATATAAATATATTATAATATTATATGATCGATAATGGATAATAAACGTACCGCTACTTCACAAAAAATCACTAATTATTTTTCTGTGCCGTCGACGAAAAAACATAAACCAACACCAACTGATGATGAAGTTGCAATAACTAATAATCCGTCAGAAAGTAAAAAAGTAAGTTATTAAATTGTTAATGTAACCTATTATAATTAATTTATTAATTTACATAACTGACAAGAATTACATTAAAACTGCCTTTTAAGATTTTTGTTTAAACAGTACCTAATATAAGTTCTTTATTTCTGTGTGTAAAATTAGTTTAAATTTATTAATTGTTGTTTATTTTATTGGTCAGTGATAGTTATTCTAGCAATGTTACTAATTACTAATAATTAGTAATATTTTAAGTTTATAATATCAAATATGAAACTATTTAATTATATTTACAGGAAGTTACAGTCAATAATGATGTTGTCTATACATTAGATTCTGCTACTAAAACCATTAATGAAGATTTGGTAAAATATTTAACAATATATATTTTTTTTCTTAGAACTATAAGAAAACTCTATATAGAACTCTCTTTATAGAACTCTAAATAATTTCAGGTAACTCAGTGGCCACAGGATTGGACCTTTGAGCAGTGGCAATCAAAAAAAGAAAAATATGCTTGGATGAATTGTCACAATGGTAAAATTGGCTGCTCCAATTGCCAAAAGTTTAGTAATATACACAATTCTAATAATTCTGCTTTTGAAATATCTCCAGAGTGGTCTCTTAGTCTTATTAGTGGGGGAACTAGTAATAATAAAAAAACTAGACTTTCTGTTCAGAATTTATCAGTCTTTAAAACAGCTTACTATATAGCAAAAAATAATAGACCTTACAATGATCATTTTCAACTTTTGGAGTTGCAAGCACTTAATGGTATTGATATTGGGAATACGCTTCATTCAAGATTTTCATCTACTTCTATTATATCTCACATAGCAATTGAAATGAAAAAAAAAATAGTGTGCAACATTGTTAAGTCTAATTCAAAATTATCAGTTTTGATTGATGAATCAACCACATTGAGTACAAAATCTACTATGGTTGTATATATTAAAGCATCTATATCTTCTGAAGATCCTATTTTTATATTTTTAGCCCTTGTTGAACTTAAACATCAAACAGCAGAAAATATAGTTACCCAGCTTATTGATTGTTTACATGAATCTGGATTTAATAATGAATATTTAATAAATAATTGGATATCTTTTGTCAGTGACGGAGCAAGTGTCCTTTTAGGAAAAAAGGCAGGAGTTGCAAAGAGATTAAAAGATATATATCCATTAATATTTAGCTGGCATTGTTTAAACCATAGGCTGGAACTTGCTGTTAATGATACAATGAAAGATTTAAACTCTATTAATCATTTTAAATCATTTATCGACTCTTTTTATGTTCTGTATAATAATTCGCCAAAAAACACTAATGAAATTAAAGATGTCTGTAATGAATTGAATATTATATTTGTAAAAGTTGGAAGAGTTCTTGATACTAGATGGGTAGCAAGCAGCTGGAGAGCTGTCAATGCAGTATGGAAGACATTTCCTGCTCTAAGTAAGCATTTTTATAACTCTTCTATAGATAAAACTAAAGATTCTAAGACAAGAAGTAAATATTTGGGTTTATATAAGAAATTGTGTTCACCTGAATTTTTGTATGATTTATCTTTAATGTGTGACGTGCTTTTAGAACTTTCTAATTTATCTTTGAATCTTCAAAAACAAAAAATAACTCTTATGGAAGCAAATTTAAATATTAAAAGATCAATTAGAATTTTAGAATCTTTTAAAGATAATATAGGAGATCATATGAAAGAAGTTGAAGTGGCAAATAATGATATGATTTTCAAAAATGTAAAACTAATAAATTATTCAAAAATTGTACCAATTAAAAAAAATCAGTTCATAACTAGTATCTGTAATAATCTAAAAAGTAGATTATTAGAAGATACTAATGACTTAAGTTTAATGAAAGACATCACAGTTCTTGATAAAAGTACTTGGCCAGTTGATATAGACATAAGGTATGGTGAAGAAGAAGTCAAACGTTTGTGCAAACGTTTCATGTTAAACAAGAATAATGCAATAAGCGGATTGAGAGTATACATTGATGAAGATAAATACCCTCAAGATGTATTTCCAGAGTTGAATAACTGTATTAAAACTTTTCCTTGCTCAACTGCTGAATGCGAACGTGGTTTCAGTGTTTTAAATTTAATTTGCACAGATCTTAGGTCTACATTAAGCATAACTAATATTTCAAATTTGATGTTGATAAATATAAATGGACCCCCACTTAAGTTATGGAGCCCTGAGTCCTATGTTAAAAGTTGGTTAGTTCAACATAGATCAGCAGATGATACCAGAACAAAAAAATCTACAAAGAAAGAAGAAGATACAGATGTTTATAAAAGAAGTTTATGGACAATTGTTAATTCTTTAAAATGATTTATATAATATTTAAATTTTGATATGTTATTAACATAGTTGTTTATTGTTTTATATACATAACATATAAGTATTTTACTGTACAATTTTTTTAAAGTTTGATAATAAAAAATTGTATTATTTATGATATATATATGAATTGAATCAATTTAAAAAAAAAATAATACATTGATACTTGGTACATATTACACACAATGGAGTATCTGAGTATATATGAATTAATTTTATGGTTGGGGGTGAATATAGGGTGAACTGGGGGGCGTATATAGGGGGGTATATACGCCACTGCATATACATATACACACGAAGAGTAAGTGTTTGTAATAAAGTAATACAAGATTATTAAATACTAAGTGTAATGATTTTTAAGGTAGGTATATCGTATATATAGGTATATATATCGTATATATTCAACTACTTTTAGGTGCGTATACCCATAAATTTATTTACCAATACACCACTGGTTATATTGACATTGTAGTTGAGGAACAACGCCTATATATTTACATTTTACATACAGGATGATTTACTAAACATGCTTAACCCCACGTATGTTTAAGTTAATCCAATAGGATTTGTATACTAGTTAAGGATGTTTTGTAGCGATATATATCTACTTATTTTTACCAAATTATATAATTACCTCTTTTTCTATACTATAATTTGTCAACAAGAATTTTTTGAAAATTTGAATGTAGCTGGTATCAAAATCCTAATTTGAACGAACGGTTTTTGGGTTTTTTAACTTTGTGTACACATACCAAACGTAGACATTTAATGTACTTGCCTAATAATTGATATATTTTTCAAAAATTAAAATTTGAGCTTGCGGCGAATCACCCTGTACATTATATTATTTGTATTTGCAGTACTTTTACGACACATAACATAATGTTATATATATAAGACATAAATAGGCACGAAGTACCCACCTCCTATACGACACACACTCTGGTCAACAACAGAGTAGGTATTATATATCGATAAAGACTGCTCGAGACGACGGCGCCATCGCGTGCGTATAAATAATATATTTATGTACACGGATGGTCGCGGGCAGATCTACTTTCTATACGCGTGTGTTTGTGCGTGCATATGAATATAGGTATATTATGTGTGTACTAATAATATTATATCGTCGATAATAGTATATAATAATGCTGCGAGTGCAAATCCAGTTCCGATAGACGTTACGTAAATAGTCACAATTGCTTCCACCACGACGGCGGTTGCCACGCTACCCCATCTCCTCCCCTTCCCGCGTAATACGCCCACACCGATCGCGGTTGTTTACATATTATAGTATTGTAGTAAAAACGTAGTCTCGTTCTTCGAATAAAAAAAAAAAAAATACAGTATAATGATACACCGGCGGCGGTGACGTTACGAGCTTGTCCTCTACAGAGATGCATCCGACCGGGATAGTGTAATTATATTATGTGTATGAAAACGCGTAATACAGACGACCGTCGTCGTAGTTACTATGTGTACAATCATTCATAATTCCATGGTGCACAGAAAATCGGAAACCGCTGACAGGTATGATTTGAAAATTCTATACCGTGGCGCGAGCTCAGTAACATGTCTGTTCGACGTGGTGCTTTATTATATTATTAGTATAAATATATGTCTGACTTCTGACTGCGACTATAGGTCTGTCGACGAGAATTCGGTTAAAGTCTCGAAGCGCACAATCGTGTCGCGTGTACAATAAAATGATGCCAAACGTGGGCGTGTGCCGTGCGCGGCTGTGAGACATAATATTATTATTATTATTGTCCGCGCGACGTCTCCTCTATACAGCGATTTAAATATTATTATACACATCCACCCGCCGCCGATCACACATACACACACACACTTATTAAGACATTTTACACACATTCAGTACAAAGTTTATACAATATGATACAGGCAGCTGTGAGTTGTGACACTCTCACTCGGTTCGCGACACTTTCACCCTATTTGTTGTTGGTGTGCATTATATTTTATTATATACACACACACACATACGAGAGCGAGTTATCCATTATACGCACAAATGAAATAGGTACCTGTATACCTATAATAAAGTACCTGTACCTATCTGTATGTATAAACGGTGCAATAATAATGGGTCGTCGGGCGGCGAGTCACTGCCGAGATGTAATCCTTACGCGACTGCCGGAGGATTTATAAATATGTAAGTTTTGAATAGAATAATAAGAAGAAGAAAATATAATAAACGGAGAGAATGAAAAAATAAAAAGCAATTTACCAAATGTTAGTGAAGCGCGTATCACCTATATATATATAATATTATAATACACTCGCTCGTTGTGAAATTCGATACTTGGTTCATTGTGCCTATTTAATTGAATTTGTCCGGATCGAAATTAAACACAAAAACTTGCACACTCACAAACCTCTGGTACACGAGCATGGACGTGACAATGGCGACAATTCCACGAATACACACAGATCGAGCTGATAACGACGCGGCGCCGCCATAATCTATTGTCGCAACAACACTGTACATACACATATTATAAAATGTATCCGACAACCTTAGTTGATCATAGTTTTCAAAATATAAATATAGGTAGAATTCGTCGTATAAAATTATCCGTGGCACTTTCCACTTTCCGTTTCTTTTCTTTTCTTATAGAGTTCGTTCTAGATCGATCCCTACGATATGCGCGCGAGTATACACACACAATTCGTCAGTCTTACGTAGGTACCTATTTATAACAATGATAATATCCATTATCCTACATTATACTGCGGCAGTCGTGGCAAAGTGGCTTCGTGCCTTCGTTATAATATTATTATTATGGTGCACAGTATTTTCAAGACAAAACAGAAGAAACTCCGGTACGGTGTGTCGGTGTACCTGCATAGTATCATATCATGGAGACAGACATCGAAACTGAAAGCTCAATCCTATTATCAGAGCAATATCGTATCCCCGACCGAGGAGAGTTGGCTACAACAGAGTTCGGCACTCATCAAGAAAAATGTATGCAAATTTCACCGCCTATACATGATATAAATAATGTAATAATATAATCATTATTCATTATTTATTATCACACGTAAAACCGAAATTGTGCGATTTAAATCCTTCTACGTGTTATCACTCATAAATATCATAAATATGTATGCTTAAAGTAATTTTCCAGCTGATTAAAAAAAAATCTATTCTCTTGTACAATGTTCCTTGTAGTTTTACCTAATAAATAACAAGTTACCAAATAAAGACAATAGTACATGACTAAATTACATAATAATTGTGTGAATTAAATACTGATAGCCAACTTTCTTTCCAAAATATCAATTATTAAAAAATCGTTTGAAGCTAAGGTCTAACAACTGACATAGATAATTTGGGGCAAATTGACACATGTTTTGTCGCCAGAAGACGATGAAGATCAGTCTCACAGATTATTTTTTGTTCCATCAAAAAACAGGATTCCTTTATACTTTGTATATGCCTAGATTTGTTACAAAAAAAAGTAATTGTTTATTTATAGTAGCAAAAATTAACACTCATAATGAAAATAGTTTATATCTAACAGACATTTAGTGTGTCTGTTAGCAAAGTATTTAATTATGTTAAAACTTAAAAATATTAAAAATATAACATTATATTCAGTTTAGTCGTGCCCACCAGTCATGGTGTCTTATCCGATTGTACGGTCATAGTTAACACAAAAAGATTTTTTTCAAATTTTTATTTTGCCCCAAATTCATATAAGCATTAAGACGATAATTAAGTATCTACCCACTATTTAGGAATTTACATATTTATAAAGCGATACGAGTGCACTTGACAAATTGTAAAAACGGAAATAAGAGCGTGAAAATAAAAATAAAACATGAAAGTCTGACACTCCCGCGCCGCATGTACACGCAAATACAATATAACATACGACATGAGAGTCATGACCGCGGTAACCCGATACGTCGTTTTCGTTGTACGGACGCGAACGGAACACGTCTCGGACACGCGACGACTATCACTTTCTAGTTTTGACATTGAGCCTAACCCTCGCGCACACGTCACCCGGTGCTTTCGTTTAGCCGCGGTACTCTGCTACTAATGAGGGCCCACGCGTCCACCGACGGCCACTTTTTCGCGTACCCATTTCGAATGTTCAATAAACATCGTTGTTGCGTTGGCCGTTGGGATAATTTATTACTCACGATACCGCCGCCGACAGTACGTACATTGTAGTATTGTACCAATAGTCAGCTGTCGTTTGATTATCGTAGACGAGATCGATCGCGGATCGACAGCCAGTGCGGCGTTACATTAGAGCACCAACAGTGATATGTATTCGACATTCCGCGACGTCATCACTTGCCGGGAGAGATATCGCGTCCCCCCCCTTGATTTCGATTTTTGTTTTTCATTTCTTTTTCGTCAATTAATCTTTATGTGCCCAGCTCAAACTTCCTCTCTAGTCTCTGACCACGGACAATAATTACCTCATACCCACGATCCATATATGGTTATATTTTAAATCTTTTACGGGCCATTCAGTCCATTTTCTTCTTCATCACTGAAGAAGATCTCTGTCGTCTGATTCTTTAATTCTTGCACTATTATCTACCTGCAGATTTAAATATATCTTTATACCGTGGTCGCTGTCTTCTTCTGATTCGTGTTCTACTTTACTTAGTGACTATATTGCTCGTCCTATTACTATAGGCTCTCCTTATTTTGCCATAAACATCCGGTACATTTCAGTCTTTTCAAGAGACAGGACATTTTTGGATATTTGGTCCAACGAAGATTATCTCAATATCTGCCATTCGTTCTAATTTTGTAGATATTTCCCTCTGTTTCCGTCCATGCTGAGATCCATAGAATATTATATTCAATAATGGATATCGTTTATAACCACGGCGAGTTTCCAAGCCCCCTAGGGCTTTGGGAACATAATGTGCGCCGTATGAGATTCAAACAAGATTTGTTGGCTCGAAATAATGTCCATATAACGCGAGGTAAGTACACGGGTAATACTCGAGTTTAGAAAAATACACACTGCACACACACAGCGCGCTTGTTAATTAGTTTTTTACGCGTATACAATGCGACGATAATGATGTGCGATGGAAAACGCGTACCTGTGTATTGTAAATTTACGATTTTATTATGTTAACGAACCGGAACAGCTTTCTTGTACGGTTTATTATGTTATTACTTATTATTGTTATCCGCGGCGGCGACTCTGCTGCTGATCGATCGGTTTTCAACGCGACAAATATTATACGATCATCGTCGAGGTGGATGTTATCATATCCTGGTTTTGATGAAGAGACTACCGGTGTATAGTGTTTGTCGTGCTGATAGACCGATGATGACAATACGGCGCGGCCACGTAAAAGGGGATGCGCCGCACAATGTGACAAGAGCCTATAATATTATTATACTGTACAATGCGCGCGCGCCATAACAATATCGACATTACTCGACGTCTTTAAATTGCAAACAACCCAATTCGAACGAAAGTATATTATTATGTACGAACACCACAGCTAGAGGCACAGTGATTTAATATATTATTTTTTTCGTTTTGTCTGACGCCCAAATTGTATAGATGTTTTAAAGTAAAACAAAACGTAATTATTATTACTATTCGTTTAGTGGCCTCAAAAACGATATCATTATTGTTGTGTTAAGATCGAGAAAAATAATACAACAAAAACGATCAAATAATGATTAATGTGTGTTAATTCGTCATTGTTTTTTACTGTACACAGGCATCGTTATTCTATTATTATAGTCCATGAAATCGTTTTAACAGTATTTGTTCTTCGTCGAGGCGATTTTCATTTTTTTTCCACCACCAACATCATCATAGTTATTACTTATTACAATAATAATATGAGCTAGTCGCTTACATAACTAATCAAATTTATAACCGATGATTAGGGCCAATGGTACTCATTTTTTCCCTTGGCCTGAATTACCGAACGCGACTTCGGGGGCAGTCAAATCGAATATTTACAGAAGTATAATCGGCTGGCATACAAAATAAAATGAGAAACATCGGCTATGGTAATAATAATAGTATTATCCTTGCAAAACTGAAAAACATCAAACGTGCGCCTGATAAAAATGATTTAGTCCAACCGCAATGCGTGCACGCCCAGCTATAAATGGCAAATCACAAAATGGCGTTACCGTTAATGCCGTGGACATAAATGCTCGTGTCGACATCATATATATTTATCTTAATCCGTTTTGATATAAGATACATGGTTTGTGGATTTTACATACGAATGAAATAAATAAAAAAAATAACCTCAAAAGAAATCCGTAAACTCATTTATGCTGGTCTCATATAGGTATAGCCGTATCCCGCATTATCTAGCTACTTGTTTGGTAAAAGAAATTTAACGAAAAACAAGTATACCTAATAAATAAACCTATAATCCCATATTTTGTTTGTACCACGTATACAATTATAGTAATAACAATTTCGAAGTATACTCATTTAAATTTACGACCAATTTTAAATTTCCTCGTCTTGCTACCACATAAAAAAAATTCTTATTATATTTTACGACGTTGTTTTTGGCGAAAACGATAAATACATTTTTCATTCATAAAGCGGGACACCCACCAAAATTCGTGGAATGGTCGTTAGACACATAAGCAATCGGCTTATAATAATAATCATAATAATTTATGAGATAAATATCTATAATACCAGTATATAATATGAATAATATCTTAATCTTCAAAAGGTACTCACTGTTGGTAGAGAGTCGGAGGACAGCTGGGTTCGAGAGATGGTGGAAACACTCCCGATGACTTGAGCGGCCCGACGACTATGGGGAGCTTAGCGGTAGACGGTGACCTGACGGTGGCCGCCGCTGCTTTCTTATCTGCGTCCCTGGCAATTTTCAGAGGGGTGCAAATCTGGTGTTTGACCACGTTGTTCTGGACCGTTGAAATGGTGGCGCTGAACGCCGGTGGTTTTACGGTGGACATGACCACCTGCTGTTTAGGAACCGCGGAACCACCGGCACCCTGAAACACGGACTTCCGGGCCGAGAACTCGGACTTGCAGTAATCCTTGTTGGGTATGGTGAGTTTGTTGCGACGGACGCTCGATGAACGACCAAACTCTTTGTTGCCATTGTGCAAAAACTGCAGTGCTTTGTCGTCAGTCGTTAGTGAAGGTGGCGGCGGCGGTGCAGGCAGCAGGGGCGGCTGTAGCAGTTCAATGGCGAACGACTTGACCGGTGTCTGCGGTACTGCTTTGTGACTGTCATATATGTAAGACAGCGATTTTGATTTTTCACTCATTGCGTTATGCTGATTCTGGTGCTGGTGGCCATGTAGATGGTAATTGTTGTTAGTGAACAATCCGGCTGATACACCGCCACAGCCGGCATTAAAGTCTCTGCTGAGAAGCACGTCTTCGACGGCGCTAAAACTGCTCTCCAGTCTTTTCTCCTTGCCATTGCGCAGGAACTTGTCGTTCCTCAACGACTCGGGTTTAGGCCAGATAGCCTCCGGTGGTGGTGGCGGCAGTGGTTCGTCTGATACGAACATTTGCTCGTCGTCATCGACCACCGGTGGTGGTGGCGGTAGGTCTGGACTCGGTTCGCGTTTTGCTTGGGGCGTCTGTTGCCGAGCGACTTGTTTCTTCTTAGGTGGCAGTTCGGGCACCCAATCGTCAATCGATATCGATGGTCCAAGTACCATTGGCCCAAGAATCGCTGTAGATAGTGAACCGCAGCTAGAACTGAACAATGTACAAAAACAAGCGATTAGTGCTACATACGTATAGGTATAGGTATACATAAACGGATTTTATTTATTATTTATTTATTTATTTAAGTTTTAAACGGGCCAGGCCCAATTACATACATAATAATAATAATAACGACAATCGATCGTTAAGTAATATACATAAACAGAATAATTATAGAGAAAAACAAAAAAGGTAGGTACAATATTAATTATTATACATACATATTATTTAACATACTTATAGCTATGAATTAACAAGTAAGGAATTACAATAATTTTTGAATGAGTTGAAGTTTGGTGATATGAACAGATCGATATTTAATTTATTTATAGTTTTCATAATTCTATGATGGGGAGTATTGCTTGCGTAATTAGTTACTTCTGTGTTTAGATAGAAAGTGTTTTTAGACCGGGAGTTACGAATAGGGGTATGGAAGGAGAAGCGACTTAGGAACTCAGGACAATCAATATTTCCTGAAAAAAGTTTATACGAAAAGTACAAATCTAATCGCAGACGACGTTGTTCAAGTGTTTCGAGGTTGAGAATTGTTAGTAGTGGAGTATATGAAGAATGGGGTTCTCTGATTATGGAACATTTAAATGAAAGGAAACGTAGGAATTTTTGTTGAATTTTTTCAATGGTTTGCTTATGACCCGATTGATAAGGAGACCATATTATTGAGCCATATTCACAAATAGAGCGTACCAAGCTACAGTAAATAGACTTTAAAGCTAATGAATCGTCAAAATCAGCACAATTACGACGGATAAAACCAAGGATTTTATTTGACCTGTTAGCAATGTTGGTAATATGACTGTCAAATTTAAGTTTAGGATCGAAATAAATACCGAGGTCTTTAATAGCCCCCATAGTCCGAAGGAGTGTTTCACCATTAAGGTTGTAATCAAATGAAGAAATAACTCGAGCTCTGGAAAATGTCATTATCTGGCATTTCTTAGTATTAAGAGTAAAATTATTGTTAATGCACCACTCATAGAGAGTATTTAAATCGAGCTGAAGTAAATCAGAATCATTCTGATTATCAACTATACGGAATAACTTCATATCATCGGCAAACATTAATTTAGTGCAATTATGGAAATGAATGTCATTAATAAAAATAAGGAATAATATTGGTGCTAAATGGGACCCTTGAGGAACTCCTGATGTAACACGAATTGGAATTGACCAGTGTTCTTTGTAAGCTACTATTTGCTGACGATCTTCAATAAAGGAGATGACCCAGGATAAGAAAGAGCCACAAATACCAATTTGTTTCAATTTAGTAAATAAGATTTTATGGTTAATTTTATCGAACGCCTTGGTAAAGTCTGTGTAAATGACATCAACATTCGATCCACGAGAAAGAGCATCAGATATAAAATTTCGAAAGTTTAGCAAATTAGTAATCGTACTTTTATTTCGTCGAAAACCATGTTGATCATCTATGATTACATGATTCAAAACAGATAATACCTTATTTGCAACTATTGATTCAAATATTTTAGGTATGAGAGAAAGCAAGGATATTGGACGGTAATTTGCAATGTTGGATAGATCAGATGAAGATTTAGGAATTGGTCGAATAAAACTAGTTTTCCAGCTATCAGGGAAAAGCCCGAGAGAGAGTGATAAATTAAATAGGTAATGTAATGGCGTGGAAATGACAAATTTACATTCTCTTAGGAATATGCTTGGAATTAAATCGGGCCCAGGACTGGAATTGGAACTTAATGAACCTAATGCTTCAAATACCTCAAATAAATCGATAGAGCAAGAATGTAGTGAAGAAATAAGAACTTTGGGAGGAGTTTGCTGCTTGTAATTTACATTAATATTATCATAGTTTTCATAAACACTAGAGAAGTAGTTCGCAAAAGTATTAATAATATCCTTAGGAGTATTAAATTCATCTGTGTTTAAATGCATACAATTAGGTAAAAAATTATTTCTACGTTTACTGTTTATGAAATTCCAAAATTTTTTAGGATTGATTTTTAAATTAGTTTGAATTTTATTTATATAATTAAGATAATCTTTTTTAGAGAGAAACTTACATTTACTACGAAGATTAGAAAATTTATTGTAATCACTCACCAAACCAGAACTCTTAAACACTTTATGAGCAATTTTTTTTTTAAAAATAGTTTCTATTAAATTTTTACTATACCACGGAGGGTAGTATGACTGACGTTTAATTATTTTAGGAACAAAAATATCAATGATATCATAAATAATAGAATAGAACAAGTCGACAGCTTCATTAATACTAAGATCATTAAATAAAGTATTCCAATCTATCGATGCTAAGCAAAACGTTATATCAGCGTAATTACAATTAAAAAAGTTATACATGCAAAAATTATATTTAATTATTTAAAATATATATTTGATTTATTTTGTTTATTTTGTAATGTAACAGTTTTTTAGACTACCTATAACTGAACGACCATGTTAGTACATTACCAACCACTTTTAGAACAAATATTTAATATACTAATAGTGAATACTCAATACAGCGATGATTCATTACTTCGCTATTAGCTAAAACCTGTTATAAATACATATACAAATTTGGCAGATAACCAGCGGTGTATTCTATAATCGATTAAAATATGTATGATAAATTATCGAATTTATATTTAATTTGAAAATAATCAACTATAAAAATGCATTAAATTATTAAATTGTCATATACACTTAAGTACCTACTTGGTTTGCCAAGTTTTAGCATCATATGTTATTATAGGTTGATTTATTTTATAAATGAATATGTAAAAGAAAACAAGTAAAGTATAGTTTAGTTAAGTAAATAAATTAAAACTATTATAGTTCAACAAAACCTGACAACTGACATGAAATACAAAACTATAATATTTCAACTAATTTTTTTTTTTTTAAATAGATTAGAATTTTAAACTTGAGTTTTTGTAAATGAATAAATAATTTGAAAGAAAAAAAAATAATAATACAAAAGAAACTATAATTCAAAATATAGTTCTACAGTAATCATTTGTCTACTTTTGAATAGAATCAAATTTATTGGTTTAATGATCATTGATTACAAATTAAAATCAATGACAATTTTTTTTTTAAATGTGTAAATCGAAGAATGCGTGTAGTTAATCTTGTAACTTATATAATAACGAAATACAATAATTATGATAATAATTTATTTTAAATAGGTACCTTAGTAATAAGTTATAAATTAAAATAGTAATTTCCAAAAATTAATACATTTGATTCTTAGAAACTCATAAAACTTTGAAAAAATGATGTGTTAGTTTATAAAGTAAAAGTTTCAATTTTCCATAGATATTTATATATTTTTAAATAAAAATCTTTTTAAGGGGTTTGGTATAGGCAATTTAAAGTGGCGATGTTGTTTAATAAATTTTAAGGGGAAGTTCATATTTTTAACAACCGTTTTAGTTTTGAGCATTTTTAACCGTTCGATTTCTATGTATATGCGCACAAGAATACCTAACCTTGACGTTATTTGAATGAATAATATACATAAAATATTAATCTTAATACTATGTAACTCAGTAGTTTATGATGTACCTCCTGAGCGGGTTGTTTTTACTGAGTTCCTTGGAGTTGGCGATGCTCGCTTCTTCGGCTGAACTGTCATCTTTCGAACAATCCTGCGGACATAAAGTAAAACAAAACACTCTATTACAACAAATAATACACTGCATTATCGATGAGAGGGAAAAAAAGAGGTCATACCCACAGTAACTTCACTACCTATAAATTATAATATATTATTATAATAAACTATACAGTCATATATTATATCATTATGAGTCAGAAACTCTAAACATTATTTCATATTTTAGGTAGGGCATTATAAAAGTACCAATATAGATTCATCGAGACTGTTTAGATTGTTATCGTGGAGTATGTTGGATCTAGGATTTTAATTTATGTAATTAGAGTTGTATCTATAACAATAATATAATTATCAAGTCAGCATTATAAATTCAAGAAATCGATAATACGTAACGTTGAGGAGGAGGAGACATTTGTGTCAAATGTTGTAATAAAAAATATTAATCCCTTCCCGCATGGCCGAGCTTTAGGTTCGCCACTGAACTTTTGAGTTCACAAGCAGTTTGAGGAATTGACATAGGTACAATAGTCTCTTGCGGTCACTTATTCACTCTGGATAATGGTGCCCAAAATTCAACAGAAGGAATACCGAAGAAGGTACTAGACACTAGAGGACAATCAATAGTTAATCGGGACTCACGTCGTTCCAAGTGGCCGGAGTGTCGTATTCGGACGAAATAGACGAGCGCCTAGACAGCGGAGTGGGCAACCGTGGGCGGCAGGGTATTGGCGGAGGCCTAGGTGGCGGTGGCGACAGCTGCGGCTCAGACCTCCAAGACGACCCGGGCTGGTGTCTCTCGTAGAACGACAACAAGGCCCGCTTCTGTATGGCCCTCAGGGAGTGGTCTGCCACTTTGTGCTTCTTTTCCGGGTCAAAATACGAGAACTTGTTGGGCGTTTGTTGTAGCTGTTGTTGCTGTTGCTGCTTTTCCAGCTCGTTGATACGTTCAGCCACTGTCAGCGCTGGTGGAGATCTAAAAACGGTTCGAAAACAGCCGTTAACATCTGGCTCAGTTGTACTATACATGTGTTTATAAATGTAAATCAAGGGTAAGTCATATGTAAAAGTATAATATTATGATTTAATGATAAGGTATAGGTCCCATTTATTTATTTTAATATATGATTTATATGGTGTATCTAGGTTGTTAATTTCTCGGTATTTAAAGTTAGAGAATATTAACTAGAAATATTTCCGGAATTTATAATTATATCCTAAATAATGGGAATTTTTAATATGAATTTTAAAATTGCAGTAGGGGAGTTAAAATAATATTATTGCCATTTCAAACACAAACACAATATAATCATCCTTTTTTATGATTAGTATTATGATGATATCTTCTTTTCTCAATGAAAATTGAAAAGTTATGTCTTTAAAGTCTGCATCTTTATTACTACATCTTCTACACAAAAGTTGCTAGGTATTGAAGAAATTATCTCTTAAAACATTTAGCTTGGTTTTTTAGAAAAAACATAAGTAACACATTTTCAATGTTGTGTTAGTTTCTTCATATAAATCATATAAATTAATCCAGGGAACCTATAATAGTGTAAACCAATAGAACGAAAAAAATTTACAATTTAGGGAAGAAAAATATGTTGTGGAAATATTTCCGATAAATTTCCAATTAAATATTTCTTTCTTTTGGAAATATTCCTAAGGATTACCACTCAGTGTATCTGATGTTTAAGCTCCGGAGACGATTATGGCGATATAGTAATTATAATAATTAAAAACACGAACTCGAATTTTAAATGAATTCATGATACGAGTATATAATTACTCCGTAAGGTTCGTTGAACATTTATAATACAGAGCATATTTTGTTATGATTATTATGCATTTTAGTTGTCAAATCGTAGATCATTTTGTTTAGGGATATACGAACCGTACAGTACCAACGACCTACCCTTTACAATTCTAAATCAAAAGTGACGAAATGTATCATTTTTGTATTTTAAGATTAAACAACCAATGGACAACGAGTGTGATATTTTGTCAAAGTGAGATAATTAGAATACGACTACGGTATGCTTATAAATTATAATATTATAATCGTGTGAGGAAAGTATATTAGTGTAGAGAAAGTTTGTGTTATACAACCGTGTCTGATATATATATATGACACAGGAATAAAATGCATTATACTTTATCCCTAGTCATTTAGAATAATAAGAAAAATAAGATAAATAAATTTGATAAGAGTGTGGTATTATGCATAAGCAGATGACGTCCAAGATTTAAATGAAATAGAAAACTAAATTTTGATATATATCTTTATAGTAATAATAATAAAAACGTCGAACAATACAAATACATGGGTACATCGTCAAATGTGGTGATAACGGATCATTCACTAATTACTTGATGTTATTCTGACTCGAGATCGTTTCATAATTAATAATTAATTATTGATGCTACACAAACTGTTATATAATTCATACTGAGGTATCCACCTGACCTACTGCGACTCTGTAATATTTACCCACATTAATATTATTATGATAACAGAGACAACAATAATATTATTGACGTGGCATTGGCATCGACTTCGATTTAATGTGCGATTGTATTTGTTTCCATCCCAATGGTCCCAAATACATTAAAATACTTTAGGAACGATAATATCAACTCATATTACTGCCTACTTAATGAGTAAAATGAGTTTAACAATTCTATGGTTTACAGCTGGTACTTATATACGTGATATGTCAACATTTTACAAGCATAAACAAATATGATATAGATAGGTGAGCAGTGCAGTCGTCCGTACTTTGGTGAAGTCTTTTCATCTACAACCATGGCCGGTTGTACCGTGTAGGTGCTGACCGGAAATAATTTCCGGAGATTTCTCTGGTTTCCGACCCTGTGCTCTAGAACGCTGGAGCCTGACCATCCGTCGGTTACGCTCATCACTGACTCGGAGTGGTGTCTCTGCGGTGCCGACACCTTGGCGCTGTGAGCAATGAGCTGGGTGGTTGCCCGGTGGTGCCCGCCACTGGACACGGTGCTCAAATCACTGTTGGAACCGTGCCACTTGAGCGTTTCGCTAGATGAACCGGAGCTGGCACTCGAGTCCCTCCCCTGGGCGGCGGCGGGTTTTTCAGAGTCTTTGCTGTTGACGACCACGACGGCGGATTCGCTGTCTCTCCTCAACCTGCAAATAAGTCCACCGTTGTGTTAAGAAATGAAAAATCCAAAAACCGGTTGCTCGTAAAATATTTTTCGACGTTTTTGAATCGAATTATATCAAACATATACCTGTCCAGAAACGGGGTTGACGTGGAATCGGTGCTGGACACATAACTGTGGTACCCTTCGCTCTGAGCGTACGAGGTCTGGTGTTGGTGCGAGGGTACAGTTTTCTCAGTCAGGCTGATCTGGGACGTGGACTTTTCCTCGTAGATCCGAGTGTAATGCTCCAGCTCCTCCTTGGTCAGATGGCTGGACAACGCGCTGTCGCTACCGTCGAAACAGCTTGAGTACTCGTCTGTTTCTCGCTGCGGAAACGGAAAAACAAGATTTTTAAAAATGTACAACAACTACAATAACAATTATAATATACGACGACGTTTCCGCCAAAGAGCGTGTAATGGTATTTATGAAATCGGTCACTAACGTGCGGCGAGTCGTCGTAAGCTCTGGAATACTTTTCTAGCTGCGCTTGCGTTAGCTGAGACTTGGGGTCCGCCGGATCCGACAAGACGGTCGTCGATAATGGCACACAAAAATGTTTCTCGGCGGTCTGCTGCAGCCTTTCCACGTAACCGCTACCACCGCTTTTGGTTCTCATCGACCGCACCCGGTCCAGCAGCTCGGGTTTGCCTTTTTCGCAACGCTCCATCACGGTTTTCAACTGCAAAAAATAGTCCATGTCATCAGTGTTGCAAAAAAAAAATACTATTATGTCACACTCAATATAATATTTAATATCAATACGATCAATACGCATAATAATATAATAAATGTCTTTATGATATGACAATTATAATCGTCCCTAAATCGTGAGATCATTATATTAGTATTTTGATGGTATAAAAATATACATAATTTAATCGATCGCCCATGGTATAGGCTGAGTGGTGTTTCCCCGTCGCATATAAAGAAAATACATGTATACAGGTATATACGAACAATGGCTTGGGGTCAAAAACTTCGGCGGCATCTAAGTCTGGCCGACAGCACATTATAATATACATTGTAAGCCCTAATACTCAAACCGGTTTCGTTAAACAAACATTTATCCGCGCACCGCCGCCGCCGTACACACCGAAAGTGTTTCGCTCGTTATTCGCATCCGACACGCCTGGTTCTCCGCGGTGAGCGAGGCCCGGCCCGTCCGACGACAAATCGATTCGCGGCGAACACGCCGGACACGGTTCGTCAACACGAATAGAGCACCGGAATTTCTCGCGGGAGAATAGCGATCGACAACGACGACCTGCACGCCGATAAATATATGTATTACAAGTATGCGTAAGCATTGAGCTCTTATTTCTTAATTCGAAATTTATTCGAAATTCGGAAAATCGAGATCCGGTGCTTCTCGAAAACGAAGACAAAATATACGAACACCCAGCATTAGCGGAGAGTGCACATCGCGGGTCGAATCGATACTTGTTGGCTATTATACACAGACTGCAGTTTTACCCATGATCTACACACTCGCTGTCGCTGCAGCTGAACAACAACGACGACAACGACTGCATGCAGGTCGAGTGCACCGACTCCGGTGGAATCACAAAAATGCACGGTCGCGCATGCCGCGTCCTTTGCCCCGGCGAGCAGTTGTCATCGTCGTCGTCATCATCATCATCATCATCATCATCATTATTATCGTTAGCAAACGTATTTCTAAGAACGTTTTACCGAAAGGATAATAATATAGTAAATAAATTTACCGCGTGACGACCGCAGAGTATATAGGCTCATTTTGGAATATTTTTATAACTATACATCATTAATTGCCCATCCTCCGCTTCCACTGCGTCGAACAAAATCGATATTTTAGACTTCCCAAATCGTCGTCGGCGTGTAGGTGTGACCCCGGGAGGTACGTATTATTATAATGCTGGCGATCACGCGAAACAACATCGATTATAACAACGACAACACTATTTATAATAATCGACAACAATCGGATTCGGTTGTCTTGGATCGAGAGCTCGCGCCCGACGACCACGAAATCGCCAATAATATTATTATTATAAAGTCGCGGCGATAAATATTGTAATCATGATAATATATTATTATAATAGGGCGTGTGTCGTACCGGCAGAGCGTGAAGTGTCCGAAGACGAGATTCAAAGTCAGTGACCCGTCTCGGGACTGACACGTCCGCGGTGGCGTCGTCGTCGTCATCGTCAAGTCCCACATTATATTATTATTATTTATTATACGGCCAATAATGCATTAATGCCGCTCCGTGATACACTTAAAAATATTATGAACTCGCGTTGACATTATTATTAATTATTTTCGGGTGGGGTGGGTGTTGTATGTGTACGCAATATTAATAATAACTGTATTATTATAATAACGTCTCACCGAGTGTAATGACCAAGGTTCGGGACTTATAGCATTTGCATACTTTTGTTACTCATTGTAAAATTTAGCAGAGTGCGAAATGAATTCATTTCTCGATGCCGTGGTACCACATTCAAAATTTGAATGTGCATATTTTTGCATATTTCATACATTTTGCAGGAAAGTGCTCATCATAACTGATGACATTATGCATAATATGTATTGCCATTAATTTTCGCGGGGAAATGTCGAACCAATTAATAACGGTTTTGCAACAAATTCGACGGCTGCACAGCGAGACTATCTGCCCGTTTGTATCTTTACGTTTTGTCTATTAAACTCCTCCTCTGCTGGTTTGTATTTTCTACATATTTTTCCGTTGACTTTCACCAATCCACTCGTGTTCCACGAGCGCGTATTATTAGATCCTAATAGCACCTTGGCGGTGGTCGCGGAGGCGACGGAGTACACGATATTATATCACGTTCATAAAATATACTATAATGTATATAATATTAGTTCGTCGAAAATACAAAATATATTTCAATATTATGATGATAAATAATGACGAGATGATTTCCCGCGTACAGGTCTGATTTCCCTCACCTACCCCGTTTTCATGTCAGCGTAGAACGCGACATGCCCATGATAATAATAATTAATATTCAATTGGTTAGGTAAATATTATTACTATAACAGACTGTATATTTTATAATATTGTGTGCTAGCGTGTTTACTTGTTGCGTGTACAGCCCGTTGGACAGTCTCTTGGGATACGGCCGGACGATGGGCGGCGGTTGTTCCTTCGGGTAACTATTACTGCTGCTGATGCCGCTGCTGCCCGTCTGCTCTTCCGCCCAGGACTTTCTGGCCGCGGTGACGGACATTCCATTGCTTTTGACGGTCGTCGCCGTGGCGGTGGCCGGACAGGATGGAAACTTTTCGTGTCCGCAAGCCGCGTCCTTGACCTATAAAAACGGTTCATTTGTATACACTCATATGTTTGCGTTCCTTTATCATAAACACACATTCATTGATAACATATTACATTAGGTAACGACATGGGCAATAGCGGCGACCCCAAAAAAAAACCCCGAGCTTAAACGCAAGTGTCGACGATATACTACAATTAGGACTGACCTTGTCGTCGGAAATAGATAATAAAATACAACGTACGCATAATATTATTATTGTTTATAAATTAACCAATCGGTCGTGTTTCAAGACAATATTCGGAGACCTCATTGTTTCTGTCGGTTGTGCCTGTGCGTGCGACAGTGTACGTACACTGCGCGGTAGTTGGTATAATAATATAATACCTATATGATAATAATGCATTACCTACGCCGCCGAGTATGTTGTTGACGAACGAGAGACAGAAAAAATTCCCTCGGATATGCTGCGGCGACTATGATTCTTTCGACTACATCGACCTCAAATTCGTCCTTGACGGATATCTTTTTTTTGTTTTTTCATTTAAGTACGACTACTATTGTATAAACCGAACACCCACGGACGGAATTTTTTCATTTTTTTTATACTCAAACACGACGTGCATCAATCGATATAATATAACTGGTTCGTCATCACATCGACGAAGAGCACACCGTACCCGGTTTGACTTCGAGTCGCCGAGTATAAAATATGGATATATTAACGTCGATGAATAATCGTACTGTCGATATCGAATATTATAGTCGATATTATACTATATCATAGTTTAAAGACATAGAAAAATAATGGAAATGATATTATACATGCCTTCATACGCGTTATACATTTAAGTTTTCGAATTTATATTAAAATCATTTTTAAGATAACTCTTGTTTGTGTCCGACAAATCATGTAGGTAACAATTTATTTTTGAAAACGATATCGATTGAATAGAAAATGTGTATAATTATTGACACGTGTTTTACAAGGATTGATTATAAGTTTTATTTTCTGCACCTACAGCATTAAATTATTTTTAATGCAATATATTATCTCATAATTCATGACGTTAAGTATTTTGTACGGAATTCCATTGAAATAAGCCAGTGAATTATTTCTACATCAATGTTTTTGTTTTTAAACACATCAATTTCTTAAAGAGTTAATAAAAAAGTATGCATATAATAATATTAATTTTACGATGTTTTCTGCGGTTCCCATTCGCTTCGGAGTGTTTATCTGTTTTTAATTAAAATATACGTAGGTAGAGACTTGATGTAGAGGAGACTATACGAGTACATGGCAAGGTATGTTATACGATATCGGAATTTTAAATAACTTAAATATTATAGGAAACGGAACAATATAACAAACAATAGTTAAACGTCATTAGCGAATGCGGTAAACTATTTAGCTGTTTACAAGAAACATGAGGCATTAATGAAGCAGGTTTTCGTAGTAAAATCTTTTAGAAATGCGTGCATTTTTCGAGGTATGCGACGTGATACGATATTCCGGAAACTCGCAGTGAGCAAACAGATAAAATAGCAAGAATGAAGAAACGAATAATATAACATTTCGGGAATTAATTACGGACACTAATAACTAATAAGTTATCACTAAAAACTAAATAATGTCTATGCATATTGAAGGCATTGAGGGCATTAATCGATTTTTATAGTTCCACAATGATAAATTACGAGTACACTCTTTTATTTCCATAGTTTAAAATCATTGCGGTCTTTCAATGTACCACGTACATTTATACATGTACGCATAACAGATTACAGATACGTATAGATCAGTATTTAGTTTAATGTATTATTACATTATACTAATGCACGCTGCGAGTTGTTAATTTGTAATTTAACTTTCTAATTGTATATTAATTATATTAATTAAAATAATAATGGTTGGCTTCCCTATTAAATAACGCTTTCCAATGATTCGCCAACGAACACGAAACACAATAAAATTGTGTGTTTCTATTATCAGCCTAACCAGGAATATTCAAATAAATAGTGTGATGATATCGTTATTAAAATAGTTTTCCGGTTGTATTCATCGAAAACAAGTTCAAAGATATGTAGAGAATGGTACCTATTAGGTATGTTATATATTATTATTTATTATTATGCAAACATACGCAGAAGAATTGTATGATAAATTTCTGTGGTTTGATATCAGTCGTGTTGTACATATTGGTCGAATAAAAAAAACATTTAGATTACATTTTTTCACGCGATACCACACACTGTTGCGAAGGTCCTATGTATAATTTGTCATAATAATAACCACGCAAAGGTGTTTAAAATAAACGCGATAAAAAAACTGTCGAGTAGGCACGAATGTCGTATAGTAGATATGATATAGTATATGTATACATATGGTATAAGGGGGGTGATTCGCCAACATAATTTATAAATGTATTAAAGTTTTGATTTTTGAATGTTTAAGTATACTTTATGAGTACGGAAAGACGTTTGAAATACTTAGATTTTTTTATACCATTTAAGGAGTGACTTAAACTATCAATTGTTAAGCAGATGAATTCAACATCTTGGCGCATATAGTTTTTTTGGAGGGGGCTATCCTAAAAAAAAGTACGACGCTCCCAACCCACCACGTTTATACAAGAGGCGAAAGACACCTGTATGCGCCGTCTCTGTCTTACAACGCGTAACATGGCAAATTGTACATTCAACTGTTATGATTAATATTAGAGCGAATTGACCTAGCTATTATCAAATTTAGAAATAAGATTAGAATATTGTCTAATGAACCTCTTAGGTTTTTTTATATTTTAATTTAAAAGCAAGATAATATGAGTATTTAAAATCGTAAATTGTTTTTTGCATTTTAAAATACTTATAACTTGCTTTAAAATTTGACTAGATAATATTCTTACTTCTAAATTTGATAATAGGTCAATTCGGTCTTATATTAAACATATCTGAGTTGAATAGATTATTCAAAACGTACAATTTGGTATGTTATGCGTTTTTAAGACACATGCGGGTGTAGCGCTCTTATTATAATTATTATGATTATGATAAAATTTCAATTCTTTTTTTCTTTAATGCCATTTATTAATGTACTCACACTAGCCCATATATGATAATATATTAAAATAGATTATTATAAAAAAAATTTAAATAAAAAACTCACATCCACTGGTGGCAGTGGGGCCCTGTGTCGGGGTATGTGTCCGTCACAGGTTTCAGTCATGCGGGCCGTTACTCGACCGGACTTGATGACGCCGCTGTTGCCGTGCGATGAGCGGTTTTCCTTGCTGCTGGGCAGTTCTCTGATGGTGGCCACGGCGGAACAGTTGGCCTTAGCGAACGATCCATCGTTTCGTGTTCTGTGGAAATAAAAAAATTATATTACTCCTGATGACTCTCAATGCAAGTAGAATATAGTATTAATAAGTATAATATTATTGTATAGAAACAACAAGAATAATCATTCAAGACACATTATCCAGCAATTTTTTGTTGAGATCTACTAAAATCAACAAATGCATTGTCACTACATTAAATATTATTATTAACAAAATACTGTGATACAATGGAAGTAAGGATGTTGATCCCTTTTTTGAACTCAGAGTACAGCTCCTTCAGAGCGCCACTGCAGTGACGAATGCATAATAAATTTTTAAATATAAGAGCTTTGTGCGTGTTATTATAACGCTAATATGATAATTTGTGTTGTTCGTATTAAAAACCCAAAAGGCGCCGGAAGCGTTGTAGCGTAGGTATAAACAAAATAATATTAAATTAATAGGCGGCAGTCGTCGCGCTCGTATTCGCGATTCGCCGCAAGACCGTGACGGATCGATGGTCTCATAGCAATGGTATTTTTTAATTTCAATTATCGTAATTATCGTTATTTTTTTACAGTGACATTTGAGACGAAAAAAAATGTACAGTAAAAAATACGACCGCTGCGGCAGAATAATAATATTATACTTGATTGTCATCATACACCGACCGGCTAGGACCGACCGAGACGCGATTAACACCAACGACCGGCGCGTCCAAACCTGGTGAATACGAAATACACATTATAATATTATATCATATTATTACTTGTTAGTTATTAGTTTAGCGTCGAGCTACATAACTACTGCTGTTATGTTCATTTACGCGGAAGTAGTAAGAATGCAATGTGTGTAGTGTTGAGAGGGGACCTAATAAGGATAGTGCCCGAAACAGGACCGAGTAGAGCAATATTATTCTGATCTGAATAGGGGTGGTTACGTAATCGGTGGAAAAGTCGGCTATATAAGTCATTATTAACAGGGCTACTAATTACTACCGCCTATTTAAGTGCAATCAACGACAAAAATAAAACCACAATTTGATCGAAATGTTAAAGGCAGTAAGTAAATCGATGTAGGTAGCTCGAAACCCGCATAACGTCTGTTAAAACACTACGAAAATATCCGCCAGATATAAATATGTAGACCATTATCATATTATTATGAGTACGTATAAATAGTAATGCGCAATCGATATATAATGTATAAAAATAGATTCTCAATAATTACTAAGGAATGAATTGTTTTGAAATAAATATTTTTAGTAGTAAAAAAATCAAAAAAACAGACTACAGTTGAGTACGTTTATTGAAATTTTAAACAAATTGACACTAATTTTTTCTAGATTTATTTTTAATATCTATTGGTTTATGTACACTTCTCTTAAATGGAACTAAAAAAATTTAAAATAAAATTCATAATTATTTAATATTTAGAGCTATTTACCTAAATAAACAATGTAATGATGCGTTTCCTACCAATTTATTAATGTACAGAAATAATTTAAGAAATCAATTTTTAAGTTGAATAATTAATTTTGTCGATTTCAAATAAACATTATCTATAATAAACATGTATATTTTTATAAAATATTATATTTATATATGTTTACTTTTACGCTAAATTTAAACCTGTTCCCTAGAAATTATCATCATAAAATAACAGTGCATATTATATCTATAGCGCGCTTATTCTAATAAAATTAATAATAATACGGGCGCAAGTGTATCCGATTTATCGACATCACAATAATGATGTATGCTCATAACTCACCTATATGCATCGCGCCATAACGTGTAATAATAATATGAATTATAAATAGAGTTCTCTTTATACACTAATGATATGTAATAATACCAATAATAATTAATAATGTATTATATTATACTTGCAGGCAACGACACGGTCATTATGTTATTAATTATTATTGAGATACGGCTGTGTCGTCTGGACGCAGATATCATTACGTAGACGCTTTTGTTGTCCGGCTCGGGGTGTTTTCGTACATATTATAATGACGAATACGCATCAACTATACTGGGTGCGCGCGAACGGAAATAATTCCACGAATTGAAGTTGTGTTTATTATTGTGTGTGTTATACTAATAATAAAATATAATAATAATAATGTATGAAAATTCATTATGGCAAACCGCAGAGTGCACGTTTGAAGTGTTTAAAACCGGTTTTATGGTATATTAAAATCGCGTGCGTGCGTGCGTGTGCTTGGTACGTTCGGTTAAATCGTCCGAAATGCTTTGTCACTCGACATCGTACACGCGCATGAAAAAAAAAGCATACGATTATTTCTTTTTTATCAGTTCGCGCATTACACGGCTGAGTTGTACGTGGTTTAAAAAGAATCAAACCGGTGTACTTATACGTGTGGTATACGCATAATGAATTTGCTGTGATTTCGTTGGAACGATGTACGTTTCATTATCCATGTACACATATTTTACTCGAACTTACCACTCCACCATGGGGTAAGATAACAACTGAATTTGTAATGCGGCATCAGCTATAACGCGAGTTTGTGATAGTAATATTCATAGTTATTAAATGTTATTTAATCGTATGTTTTTAAATATTTGTCGAACATTATTTAAGTCCGGGTTCACGTCTTTGTACGTTGTCTTCGAGTACAAAAGTTGAGCTCTGGAAGTTTTCCGGTAGTTCATGGATAGCGAAAAATTATGTTGTCATTATTACAACAGCCATTCATTCACACTACGATAAATGACACCCCACACGACAGACGACGTTGCTGTGAACCCGGCATAACCCTTAATTAAGACCGCAATACCGGGGTTCCTTTGACTACATAACCACGTGTTCTCCGGTTCAAAAATATAATAACACCTTATTATACCCGTGTTTCTTTTATATGAACGACGGACCCTGGTTTTGTTACCTATGAAATACTATATGTTGAACATTTTTTTTTACCCGGGTTAAGTGCGGGTAATTTTGTACACTGCATGGTACACGCGCCACGACAAAAACAATTATCATTATCTTTCCACGCAGATTTTTAGCTGTGTTCCCATATGACTCTTCTTATGGGGATACATTATATTGTATTCCGTACAACATTATATTATTATATTATATATAATACAATAATAATAATAATAATATGCGTATACCCACGCAGTGCATGAGCACGGCCGAATGATTTATGTATCGGAGCTACCGAATTTCCCGAGGTCACGCCCACCGCCGGCCGTATATACAATAATAATAATAATAATAATATGATTATTATTCCGAGATATTATATTATATATTAGCCGGCCGCAGTGCAACGCATCATCGCAACGCTGCTGTGGCACAGCTTCCTCCGGGCGGGAGATAGAAAAAAAAACGAGAATAAAATTAAAACGCGAGAGACGGACCGGGCCGCGCGCGCATTCCGGACATTGTCGGGAACCGGTTGCGGCCGGCGGGTTTCTTCGGGGAATGATATAGATACCGACTGCAACGGCGAAATTGCATAATCCGGACTTCCGACGGCGCTTATACACCTACACTGACTGGCAGCGAACTCGGCCTTCGACCGTTGCAACGGATATCAACGAGAAACAATGCCCCATAATAGTGGAAGTGGAGAGCCTTTTTCGGGTATCAAAAAAATTGCACATTACAGACTTTCAGTAACAACACCACGCTGATAGGTATATTTAATTCATTTTCTTCTGGGGATGATCGAGATTTTGAAAGAATTCACTAACATGTTTGAGATCTGCGGGTGTGTCTATTATTTTTCAAAGAACGAAAATTGACTGAAAGTGAGTTCCAAACAATCGACAAAATGATAATTATTGGTAATTTTGTACAATTTAGAAATAATCAATAACTATTTGCACTTAAGCAAATAGAAGTGGAGGAAGTTTTGTTTTACCGAATCGAAAAATTGTATATGGTTAACCTCGGAAGGCCGCCGATCGGAAGAACATCGGCTCGGGAGGGGGAGGTCTATCATATTATGGAGCACTCCAAAACGGTGGCTAGACATGGTCGCAGTACCTAACTACGTTATATACACTGTACCTACATGATATTAATGGTATTGTTAACAGGTGATCGCCGGGATGATGATCTGTGTGGGAAACAACGCGGTAGGTATACGTAGGCATAGGCAAGTAGGTAGGTACATAGGTAGGTATTCAGGCCGCGCGACAAGGTCGGCGAAATTTTTTTCGCGCTTTTTCCCTTCGTCGCGAGCGTTTACCGTTACTTAAACGCCACCACGTCGCGCGCGTCTCAATAACGGTTAACGATTTATGTGCGCGGAAGAAAGATTATATTATTATGAACATTATGGTGTGTGAGCGGAGACACATAATATAATGGAGGAAAAAATGACGTGTGCGATACATATCGCGTCGTTGACTATGCCGCTGCTGTTGTTTTTGTTATTATTATTATTTATTGTTATTGTATAACGCGTGGTGTCTCGTACGCTATAGAATTGTATCAGATGTATAATTCTGTGTACGCGCACTGCACTCGATATTTAAATACGAACGCGAAAACCGTTAAAAAACAATACAGCGGCGGCTCGAGTAAATTAAGGTACAAGTGTGTGTCGTGTGTGCGTGTGTGGAGAGTCTGCAGCGGCAGTAAACAGTCGCGTGTTTGTTATTGTCGTCATCGTCACCCGCGACGTCCGATGATGATGTCCATTGTGTTCGGATAGGCATATTATAATATTATTATATTGTGTATGCGCGCGCTTCCTACTCAAAATGTAACAATTATATAATGAGCGCGTGCTACAAAATATTAAACACGCGCACTTGGAAGGTCATTAATTTGAATCGTATTTAAATTGTAAAATATACCTGCAGAGCTTATAGATGTAATTAGTACCTATATTACTATAACGGGTCCGACGCAAAATACAGATAAATACTGCGGCCCGGCGCAGTCGTACCACTCTATTACAGATCTATAATCTAATGTAAATATAAGAACACATCATTACTGTATAGTGCTATATTATTATAATATTATGTCTCGTTCGTTACAGTTGCAGC